TCAGCAGTTCTCTAATCTGTGGCCCAATAAAAATACCTTCCTTAATCTTTGCCTCACTTATTTTAGGAAATTTTTGCTTCAAATAAGTAAAACCACCACCATTTTTATCCATGGCTTTAACAAAATTTTTAAAAAGTCCTAATTTAATGTGCAGAGGTGGCAAAAGAATATTTTTAGGATCGACCAAAGGCTGGAAGAGGACATTTTTGATTCCAGGAACGAGTGCTTTACGTTGTGGCCAATCTTTTTTTAAGTAATGCAATTTTCTGTCTCTGCTATCCCACTCGCAGATGAAGCAACAATATTTCGTGTAACCAAGTTGTAAGCCTTTCGTAGTGAATTTTTTTTAAGAGAAACTGCATATTCTCGTAAGTTTCTTTCATATCAGTTCCATGGGCTAACGGTATTAAGGGAATTTTATTTCCATTATGTAAGAGAACAGCCTTTAAACTGACCTTAGAAGAATCAATGAACAAACGCCAATCATCATCGCTGTATTCAAAATTAAGAGTATCCATAACAGATAGAACATCCTTGTTTTCTTGAGAAAAGAATAATTTAAATTCGTCATGGCGAGATCGATACATAGAAATTTTAGTTTTTGGATCCAACAATTTCCAACCCTTTAATCGTGATCCTAAGATTTCACTTTTCTTTTTGCACAACTTTAAATCGCGCACTAGATCGTTTAAATCGTCTTGCGTTATAAGATTAGGTCCATCAGATTTATTAATTCGAAATATTATTATTTATACATATTTATTAATCACGTTATTTATATACATATACTTACATCACGAAAATAATGTATACTATATATATCATATATAAATGAAATACCCAACGCTTAACCCAATCTTTCATACACTTTTCAAAGGCCTGTGAAGGTATGGCTTTTAGTTCCTTCAGCGAATTTTCTTTTACCGATTCAATCGACTCAAAACGCTTACCACGAAGGGGCAATTTGAGTTTCGGGAACAGGAAAAAGTCGCACGGCGCCAGATCTGGCGAATATGGTGCCCGAGCGATGACAGTAGTGTTGGCAGCCGTGTTTGGTCAAAAAATCGCGTACAACAAGAATTTTCCATAGTAAAAATCACTAAATGCACTTGAAGTAGTCTCACATTAACAGCTGCTGTAAACAAACTATTTGTCAGATGGCGCTGAAATTTGTATCATATGTCAAGAAAGGGTGTACCAACATAACAAAAAAAAATTTTTGAAAAAGGTCTATTACTTAAAAAGTAGTTAACAAACAACAAAATCCGGATACTTTTTGAGCAGTAGGTAAATCACGACTTTATAGCAAAAATATACATTCAACTGTTTTGAAGAATCTAGACGTGATAGAAAGAATCTAAATACAGATTCGAAATCAGCACGAAAAATACGTCTAGGATCTCTTAACAACGTCTCTAGGATAAAATCTTTGTTGACCAGTGTTTTTTGTAAGAAACGCATAATTATTTTTTTTTTGTTATTAAAATTTTGGTCTTATTACTATATATTTTATTACAGTTGTAGATGATTTTAATTTATATAAAAAATATTTTGTCCTAAATTTTTTTTCAAAACCTTTTAAGTTGCGTTTTCTAAATAAAAAATTTCGTAACATGCCACAGTACAATAAAAATCTAGGGGATTATTGACTTTGTCTCGGGCTTACTCAGCATCAACTAACCTTTGCCACTAAAAACTTTAGAGAAAGTTTCATCGTTCGTAAGAAAACGAGATCAAGTAGGATTCAATAAATCAAAGCACTTATCTCGGCTTTAACAACAAAATGTTTGCAGACATTGCATAAATTAGAGCAGTGATTCTCGACTCAAGACATGCTGTAGACCAAAAAAATATTCAATGTAGTTTACAAAAAAATTATTAAAAGCATCTCGTGCAAAGAGTAGTACCAATATTTTTGAAACAAATAATATCGTTAAGGCAAAAATTCAATATTTTACATGCCACTAGTGCTAATGATACCCTTATTTTGAAGTTATTTAAGCCACCATCATATAGAGTTTTTGTTACAAAGTAAATTTAAATCTAGCCAGGTTTTTATGTAAAAAATTCAGAAAATAATTGTGTTGAATAAATGAAATTTTATTTTATTTATTAATGAAGTACTAAAACCGTATTTACAATCATTAAAAGGTCTGAATTAAAAGGCAAGTCAAAAATTATATTTGTTATGAAGACAACAGCATACGAATATCATTATTATCAGTAACATCCTAACATGTTTGATCATTTCTATCAATTAGTTTGCTATTTGCATTAAATGATAGTAAGAACGTACACAATCAAAGTGACCACCACTAACAGCATAATGTAAAGCAGTCTGTTCTTCATTTGCAAAACTTCCAACATTGGCTTCTTTGACAAAAAAAAAAACATCTTTTTCATGTTCAGCTTTTTGTACTACATCATTTATTGGTAGCTCAGTGAAATGAACTACCCAACTAAAGACAGGTTCACATTTCTGTGTACTTTTTAGGTTTGGCTACCAAAGCGGATCAAGATGTTTTACCTTTTCAATATACAAATTGCTTACAAACAATGTTGAACACAAACAAATTATTCAAATGTCAAAAATTACCAAAACAATATTGCCAAGTCAATGAAAAGAAATTCAATTATTTTTTTGGAATCAGCCACTATAATAAAATTTTATCAAGAAAATGTTTATAATATTAAATAAAAGTAATTAAAATTTTAGAAAATACAAATATTTACAGAATTTATTGCAAATGTTAAAAGTTTTCTAATAACGATGATTAATTTTTTTTAATACAAATAAAACAAAACGTTTTAATAAAATTATTTTTTATTGTCATTTTCTTCATATTCTTATATTTATTTGAATTCAATTATGAAAATATTATCTTACGAAAATACTAAAATGGCAACCCTGGCCATTTAGTCTCGACTTAGCCACCTCGAAAATATGCTAAGTATCGACACATAACTACATTATCGGCACAACTTAGAATTTCCCTCATTTAGAACGCAACTTAGCCTAACTCGCACACGACCATAATATTATATTTGTGAAAACTTAATTAATGGCCACATCGTTTTAAATCATTGAACGAAACGCATGTATATAGCATAGCCATAGATTAACATATCTCGAAATTTTACTAACCGTCAATTCAAATTTAAAAATGAGAAGCAACAAATGTCAAAACAGCTGATTTCTGTCATTTCTGTTTTGTTGCAAGCAAATATACATAAGGGGTATTCACTCTCTCTTGCAAACTCAATGCAAGGTGCACGAAATGCACAGATTGTACGAGAATGCAAATAACAACAACAAAATACACGCACAAAATTTCGTGCAATTGTGTGCAATCTTCCAATACTAAAACCTATGTATATTTGCTTGCAACAGACCAGAAATGGCAGAAATCAGCTGTTTTGACATTTTTTGCTTCTCATTTTTAAATTTGAATTGACGGTTAGTAAAATTTCGAGATATGTTTCGTTCAATGATTTAAAACGATGTGGCCATTAATTAAGTTTTCACAAATATTATATTATATACATATACATTTGTGAATTAGTTTATCTATTTATCGATTTCAGCGAAACTAACGAAAATTTGTCCACATTTTGAACTATTGAATGAAGTGTTTGGACGCATGTCTAATTTTCAGCCGCTTGTGATATGTACGGACACATTGTTACAGTCACCAGCTAGTTCTGCGCTAGGCGACGAAGTTTATTTTATTGAATCGTCTGCAGACAACACATCATCCAGCTCTGCACCGAAAGTCGTGCGTTCTGCTGTGCAAAGCCCCACTACCCCCCTCGATAAAAAATATAACAAATAACAATAATAAATTAAGAATTAGTTATATTTTTATTACACTAATTATTTTTATATTATATTATTATTACATATATTAATATGCATATACGTTTTTATACATTATGTTATTCTTGTCTTGAAATAAACCTACTGGAAAAAGGTAATGTCGCAATTGACTTTTTAATTATATATTAAATATATATATGTTAAGTTTATACAGAAGCTTTCGCTCTCTTGTGCTTTTATAGAATTGTAACTTAGTCTTAAGAATTGAAATTTAAAATAAAGTTAGTCTTTAACATACCATGAATCGGTACACAACATAATTGGCGACGAGGAATAAATAGATAAAAAAAAAATAAGTAAAATGAATAAAAAGAGGAATTAAAATTGAAGATGTTGGAGCAAGTAAAAAAAGAAAAAGTGTACAAATTATTAACATTTTTTTTTAAATAAATTCAGTAAATATAAATTGTTATGTTAATACATAAACAAAAATCAATTAAAAACGTGCAAAATTCATGTTTGCATAAAATTTAAAAGAAAAAAAAAAAAAGTGTACAAATTATTAACATTTTTTTTAAATAAATTCAGTAAATATAAATTGTTATGTTAATACATAAACAAAAATCAATTAAAAACGTGCAAAATTCATGTTTGCATAAAATTTAAAAGAAAAAAAAAAAAGTGTACAAATTATTAACATTTTTTTTTAAATAAATTCAGTAAATATAAATTGTTATGTTAATACATAAACAAAAATCAATTAAAAACGTGCAAAATTCATGTTTGCATAAAATTTAAAAGAAAAAAAAAAAAAGTGTACAAATTATTAACATTTTTTTTAAATAAATTCAGTAAATATAAATTGTTATGTTAATACATAAACAAAAATCAATTAAAAACGTGCAAAATTCATGTTTGCATAAAATTTAAAAGAAAAAAAAAAAAGTGTACAAATTATTAACATTTTTTTTTAAATAAATTCAGTAAATATAAATTATTATGTTAATACATAAATAAAATAAATTAAGAACATGCAAAATTCAATAAAGACGCCCAACAGTAAAAGTGAAAACAGTAAATAAAAAAAATTATAATAATAATATATATATATTTATTAAAATATATAAAAACATATATATAAAAACTATATACTTCATTTTAACATATTTAAAATAAATAAAAGATGTTGCAGCAAACGGAACTAGCACAAACCGCTAGCGCGCCAAATATATTCCAGCAAAACTGTATTGCTGAATTTTCGCCTCAAAAAGAGCAATGGACTTTGTGGAATAAGAGATTGGAAATTTATTTTGCCGAAATTAATTGTACGAATGAGAACATAAAAAAAGCTTCTTTATTAAAAAATATCGGATCAGCTTCAGATGAACTATTACATAACTTATGCAGTCCAGCATCACCTATATCGAAAACATATAAAGAGTTGTGTGCAATCTTAAAAACACAATATACACCACCAACTATAATTTTTAGAGAACGTAAAATCTTTCATAGTGCAGTGCAGTCAGAAATAGAAACGGTATCAGAGTGGTATGCAAGAGTAAAAAAGTTAGCGTTAACATGTAAGTTTGGAGAGAACTTATCAGCTTTTATTCTGGATCGGTTCATCATGGGCATAAAAAACAAAATTTTTGAAAGACTATGTGAGGAAGATGAGAATCTCACAATTGAACAGGCACTCAGAAAAGCACTTATTATAGAGCTTAGGCTCAGTGAGCAAAAAAGTTATGGAGAAAATGTTAATTACATAAATAATAATAATGATGTAAAACCTAAGTACAACAAAACAAATGGGAGTTACAAAAATATCCCTAACAAGAATATTCCTAACAAAGTGCAAAACAATAAATCAACTAAAACTTTTCAACCGTGTGCACATTGTGGTTGGCGAAACCATGTTTCGAATGAATGCTATTATAAGTCATGTAAATGTCATCAGTGTGGAAGAATTGGACATCTATCTTCGATTTGTAAAAAAAATACTAAAGTTGTAAATAAAGTATCTAGTATAAAAGTTAAAGATCATATTGATAATAGGTTTTGTATTTACAGCATTAATCAGAAAGGTGAGGATTCAACAGAATTGTACTCGGTGACGATTAATTTTAATGGAATTTCGATGGATGTTGTCTGCGACTCAGGTGCTCCATGTAGTTTAATACCCAAATATATATTAAACAGGTGCAACAAAACAGTAAGTCTTAAAAATTGTATTGATCCGTATGTTGATTACAATGGTAATCATATTAAAGTACTAGGTGAATATTTCGAAAATATTGAGTATAATGGTATAAATAAGAAAATTAAGTTAGTAGTTACTAACAATAATAGTTCTCCTTTGTTAGGCAGGAATTTTTTAAGAGCCTTTGGGTTTGAACTTATTCAAGTAAATTCTATTAATTGTTCTAGTCAATATGCTATTTTTATTGAACAAATTAAAAATGAATTTATTGAGATTTTTGATGGTGATATAGGTACATATAAACTAGCCAGAATTTCTTTACCAATGGAAAAAGATTTCAAACCAGTTTTTTTTAAACCACGACCAGTCCCATTAGCATGGAAAAGTAAAATTGAAAGTAATTTAAGAGAGTTAATTGCTAAAGATATTTTAGAACCAATAAATAATGCAGAATGGGGTACACCTTTAGTTCCCATCTTAAAACCGAATGGTGATATTAGAATATGTGGCGATTATAAAGTCACGATCAATAAACATCTATCAGATTTTAAATACCCGTTACCCCGCATTGATGAAATTTTTGCATCACTTCAAGGGGGTGAACTGTTTTCGAAACTTGATTTGTTAAATGCGTACAATCAACTTGTACTTGATGATAAATCTCAGCTCTTATGTACGTGGTCAACACATATTGGTACTCTAAAAATGAAACATTTACCTTTTGGTATTAAAACAGCAGCAGCTATTTTTCAAAAGACCATGGAAAATCTTTTGTGTAATATTCCCTTTGTAGTTGTATATCAAGACGATATCACTGTTTCTGGGAGAAACACTTCAGAACATATTCATAACCTTAAAGCAGTTCTCTGTAAATTACAAACTGCTGGTCTTAAATTAAATTTGTCCAAATGTGAATTTTTTAAAACTAAAATTTCGTACCTGGGTTTCACAATTGACAAATATGGACTTACTAAAAATAAAGAAAGAACGGAATCTATTTTGAAAGCACCAATTCCCAAAAATGTGTCTGAGTTAAGAGCACTAATCGGTATGGTAAATTATTATTCGAAATTTATTGACAAATTTGCTGATAAAATGATTCCTTGGTATCATTTACTAAAAAAAATGTAGAATTTGTTTGGTCTGAACAATGTGATAAAACGTATGAAATGATAAAAAAGGATATAACTTCGGATAAAGTGTTAGTACACTTTAATCCTAAATTGCCAATTGTCCTTACAACAGATGCTTCTAATAAAGCTGTAGCTGGCATATTATCGCATAAGTTTTCTGAAGATAAAATAAAACCAATTGCATTTGTGTCTAGAGCTTTATCTAAAGCTGAACAAAATTATAGCACACTAGAAAAAGAAGCATTAGCCATAATATTTTGTGTAAGTAAACTCAAACAATATTTGATTGGAAACAATTTTATTTTAAAAACTGACCACAAACCTTTAATATCAATTTTTGGTGAAAATAAAGGTTTACCAATTATGGCAGCTGCACGCATGCAAAGATGGGCATTCATACTATCTGGTTTTAATTATAAAATTGAGTATGTCAAGGGACACACTAATGATGCGGATAATTTATCACGCATACCTCAAGCAATACATCGCGATCAGGATGAGGGAAGCTCATTCATAAATTATATTCAAAGTGAAAATATTTTAAGCATTGACTTTAAGGATATAGCTCGCGAAACAAGACGCGATCCAATACTCTCTAAAGTATGTGATGCTGTAAGAAAAGGAATAGTCAAAACTTTAAAAGATGAAAAATTTACGGCTTTTACAAGCAAAGATACAGAATTAACAGTAGACCAAGATTGCTTACTTTGGGGGTATCGAGTTATAATTCCATTGAAGCTTAGGACATCCATTTTACAATCACTACATGAATCTCACTTAGGCATAGTCAAGACCAAATCACTAGCAAGATCCTTTGTATGGTGGCCAAAACTTGATAGGGACATAGAAAATTTAATTAAATCATGTCTTCCTTGCCAAAAACTATTGCCAAGTCCGGAGAAAAGTAAACTGATTCCATGGACGGTAACGAATACTGTCTGGCAAAGAATTCATATTGACTTTGCGGGTCCAATTAAGAACTATCATCTTTTTGTCATAATTGACTCTTTTTCAAAATGGGTCGAAGTTTTCAAAACAAAAGATATCACATCTAATTTTGTAATCACTAAGTTAAGAGAAACTTTTTCACGTTTTGGTATTGCTGAAACTTTACTTAGTGATAATGGCAGACAATTTGTCTCCGAAGAGTTTAAAAATTTTGTTAATAACAACAAAATTAATCACATTTTGACTGCTCCTGGTCATCCATCAACTAATGGCCAAGCAGAAAATTTTATTAAAAGTTTAAAAAAATCTCTCTATGCCACTTTAAATGGTAAAAATAACGAAAACTTTGAAATAGCTTTAAATCGATTTTTAATGGATTATCGTAATACTAAGCATTGTACAACAGATGAATCCCCGGCACAAATTTTCCTGGGAATATCAATAAGAACCAGATTTGATCTTATAAAACCTCCTCTTGTTAGGGATAGAATTATTCAAAAACAAAGAAAGAGTGTTTCAAATTATAGAGGGAAGAGAAATGAACAATTTGAGATAGGTCAAAATGTATATGTACGTGACTATTCGAACGTAAATAAAAAATCGTGGATTCCTGCAATAATCAAAGACAAACTGGGCCCACGTTTATATTGTTGCATTATGTCTAACAACAGAGTCATTAAGAGACATCTGGATCAAATAAAATCAGGGCCAGGAGAAAGTCTGGTCGCACACAACAGTTCAGTAGATGTTCAAGATGTTTGGAGTTATAGTCCATCATGTTCAAATATAGACACTCTGAGTACAAACGTTGAGCCTTCACAATATGATAAAGAAATACAAGCATTAGGTTTAAGTAACAAGGATTATAGTGTAGATATACAAAATGTTAAAACTGATTGTAATTTTCAAAATATCGAAGAATTAAATAACAAATCTAAAAATGAATTGAATATTGGTAATAATGAAAATGTAGTATCTGATGAAAATGTAATTAATGAAAATGTAGTATCTGATGAAAATGTAATTAATGAAAATGTAGTATCTGATGAAAATGTAATTGATGAAAATGTAGTATCTGATGAAAATGTAAACAAAACTAAAAAAATAAATAGTAGTCAAGATATATGTATGAGGGAAACTAGATCTAAATCTAAACAAAAGAATAAAAATTGAAAATAAGAAGAAAGTAAAATAAATGTATATTTACAAATTGTAACATAATTGGAAAATTTAAAAATAAAAATTTATATATTATATTAATGTATAAGCATTAAGTAAAATCAATGAAAATTTATATATTATATTTATGTATGTATAAGCATTAAGTAAAATCAATGAAAATTTATATATTATATTTATGTATAAGCATTAAGTAAAATCAATGAAAATATATATATTATATTTATGTATAAGTATTAAGTAAAATCAATGAAAATTTATATATTATATTTATGTATAAGTATTAAGTAAAATTAAAGAATGTTTATATATTATAACATTTATTAAATGTAAGTAAAAAAAAAAAAACGTAGGGGGAGCGTGTTAAGTTTATACAGAAGCTTTCGCTCTCTTGTGCTTTTATAGAATTGTAACTTAGTCTTAAGAATTGAAATTTAAAATAAAGTTAGTCTTTAACATACCATGAATCGGTACACAACAATATACATATATGTATGTTTTATATATTTGTATTCGTAAATTATTGATTATTCGTAATTATTGAAGCGCTTCGAAGCTCCTTCATTGGTTCTCTGAGTAGCTTCATTCTGCATAAGCTCATCAGATTCTTCGTCGTTGTCATGTACGTAATCCACGTGTTCCGTATCAAATGTTGTGCAATATGCAACAAAGAGGGAACCAATTTGAACAAAAATTATGACTCGTATCATTCTGAATACGGATTCTTAACTCCTTAAGACTACCGAAGCGTTCCTTCAGAAGTCCAAAACAATGTTCAATCCTTAAACGAAATCTGCTATGGCGTAAGTTAAAAGTTTTACGTTTGGAGTAGTCAAGCTGTTGGGAGTTTGACCGAAACTGAGTTATAAGAGTTTTAAGTAATGGATAAACAGAATCGCCTGCTAACCATTGTTCTGAGGAAAATAAAGAATTTTCTTGGATGCAGAGAGTGCTTATACGAAACATGCGAGTATCATGTGCACTTCCAAAGTGACCAACTGCTACATGTCGAATCTTCAGCTGATAGTCACATATGACTTGTGCTTTTATTGAATACACTCTATTTTTTGAAAAATAGGATGTATGGTTAACCACTGGTGCTTCGGCAAGTTTTATTTCAGTACTGTCAATATCCAATGCAATGTGGAAGCTCATAATAGGTTTTCTCAACTTTATTTTGTCGTTCAGCTACATCTGGCCACATTATAAACTTGGTTTGCAGTTCCAATATGGAGCGAAAGACTCTTCGGGTTATCTTATAAATTGTTTCCCCATTTCCAACACCAAATAATGTAGCGACTTTGCGATTAGCCGCATTTTCGCCTGATAAACCCAAACGATGTAAAACAATAGCAAGTTGAAGATCGAGCGGGAATTGTTGAATTGAATGGGAATTGGTGAACTCCGCGCTAGTGTTTATTAGTGAGAGTATTAAGGAAAATTTGTTCCAATTTACTCTAAGCATCTGACGAAAACGGCCTTCATCAAATTCTTAAAGAATGGTAGATCTCCATTGAATAGATTTTGGTATGGGTTGGTGATTTCCGTGATGGTTTACTAAAGTAAACAAAAGGTCTTCATTTAATTGCTCCATCACTTCTCAGTAATTTGCATCATCTAACAAATAGAACAACATGTTAATACCTTCAATCAGAATATTAAAAGCACTATTTTCAATAAAAAAATCTATACATTTTTGTATTTCACTTGTTCGCGGCATTGTTATACTTTTATAAAAACAGCTGACTCATTTTGATGATGCAATTCTGCAACAGAGGTGTTTTCGCAGTCTTGCAGTTTTTATATAGCATTCTTGCATTTCGTGCTACTTGCAATGAGTTTACAAGAGAGAGTGAATACCCCTATAGGTTTTAGTATTGGAAGATTGCACGCAATTGCACGAAATTTTGTGCGTGTATTTTGTTGTTGTTATTTGCATTCTCGTACAATTTGTGCATTTCGTGCACCTTGCAATGAGTTTGCAAGAGAGAGCGAATACCCCTACTGGCCTCAAAAGCCTCATTTTGGTCATCAATCGAAAATGAGAAACAAATGACTCATTTTTGCATACAAAATCTCAAGCGCAAATGAGATCCATTGGATCTCATTCTGTATAAATGCGTTCCAACGACGTTAGAATGAGCTCCAAATATGTTTCAAATGCAAATGAATATATTGAACATACCCTAAATAAAAGCTTTTTATGGCATTTTCACAGTTTGAGAAAGCTGTTTTTGACAATTTTCCAAATAAAAGGTAAACAAATGTTTGGTGGTTGCATTTCCTTAAAAACTTTTAGAACTTCTACTTTCCAAAAAGTACTTAATCGAAGTTAAAAATCTGTTTCAGTTTATAATGTAAGGTTTGAAGGTATATTTAACCTTCATTTTTTTTTCTTTCATTGGTTTATATATTGAATCTCTCTAAATAGAAATTAATAACAAATTTGCAAATCTTAAAAAGCTAATATGTATGCTATTGAGATAGGGTATTCATATTTATCAATTATTTTCTTTTAAGGCGATGTAGTGCAGTTGCAGAAGATAAGTGTCGAACATGAGGATTTGGATGCGGCTTGAGTCTCTCTCGAAATTTAGGTGTATATTAGCGAATAACTTCTTCAACAGTTGGTAAATTTAGATCTTTGTGTAATTTTTGTTTTTGACATACCAAGGGGCGCACGTAGCTTGTCGGAGAATTTTATTTTGCACTCTCTGGATTTTTTCTATATTTGTGTTACACGCTGAACACTATAGTTCTACACCATAAATCCAAATTGGCTGTAATATTGATTTGTAAATTAGCAATTTCTTATCGAGACTGAGTTTAGAGTTGCGGTTTTGAAGCCTGTACAATTCCTTATATATAAGATTTAATTGACATCTTTTGGCTTCAATATGACTTGTCCACGTGAGCCTTTTATCTATATGAATTCCCAGATATTTCATAGAATGTGATTGAGTTTTAACCATATTATTAATTTTAACTGCAGGGCATGATTCTCTCCTCAGAGTAAAAATTACTTGAACGCATTTAGTTTCATTCACCTTGATTCTCCATTTTGCAAGCCACTCTTCAATCAAACCGAGATGCCTGGATAAACTTTATGCAGCTATAGTGCAGTCAGGGTCGATACTGACTATAGCAGTGTCGTCAGCGAACGTTGTCAGCAAATTGTTTGGGTATTGTGTAATGTCAGCTGTATAGATTAATTATAGAAGCGGCTAAAGGACACTACCCTGAGGAACTCCAGCGTTGATATCGTACTCTTTCTAAGTGTCTAACCCTATATTTTCGATGAGTCACGTAGGATTTTAGAAGTATACGAAAGTTTTTTAGAAGCGAGTGCGTTATTTTAAATAAAAGTTTTTATTGTTTTTAATCCGGAAAGTTAAATTTCAAATTTTAAAGTTATGAACACTTGATCCATTGATCATAAACAAAAGATATTTATCAAAATGGTGCCTGATTTGAAAAGGTGAAATTCGGTTTTGCGAATTTAAAGTTTTTTTATTTTAAGCAATTAAACTTTAATTTGGAAAATAAACAAAAACAAAAAAATTGTGTTTTGCTCAAAACAGCTGATAGAGACAGCATATGCTTTTCTTACCAGCACCAAGTTAGCAACCAGAGAATATCATTAAAAAAATTATAATAAATAGCATAAAAGAAGAAATGAAAAAAAATGAACAAAGCGAAAATTGGTTTGAGGAGCCTATGTGCGGGAGCCATCGCGAAATTTTATTGGACTTCTTAATAAAAGTTCTATTATATAAGAACTCAAAGTGGCTACTAAAAAGTAGCCAAGATAATGCAAAATTTAAAAATAAATTAAAAAAATTGTAAAAATTTATATTTATGTAAAAATATTAGTCTAATAATATTTATGAATGATTAGAAAAATTAACAATAAATAATATTATTCACCCTTATATAAGTAATTTTATTTTAAATAGTTATAAGTAATATGTAATTAAATTTAGTTAATAGTTCTAGTTAATTTAAGTTAATGTATAATTAGTTATCTAAGGTTTATAGTTGTATTCTATATAATTTAAGTAATAAAATTTAGTTAATAATTCTATTGTATTTGATATAAGAACATAATAAAAAAACTTAATATATAAAAAATAATCAATTATTGTATAATATGGTGTTTATGAATATTCTTCATGAAACTCTTGTTACTGTATGGCATAGCTGAGTCTTGACAGCCAAACATATTAAGAGCATTTACACTTATAACAACTGTGGTTGCGCTACTCCGGTGTTTTCCATCATGTCATAGGCAAATATCATATTTTAGTATTGTAAAAATCTATCATAAAATGTAATTAACCCAAGAAAAGCTTGTAGCTGTTGTTTATTTATTGGTTCTGGTGCTTGAGCTATTGCCTTCACCTTTTCGTCAGTTGGACGCACTCCTTCTCGGCTTATCTTAAACCCCAAAAATGTTATCTCTTGTACTGCGAAAACACATTTTGATTTTTTAAGCTTCAATCCTGCATCCTGTACACATTTCAGAGCAGTTTGTGTTCTATCCCACAACTCTTCCAAAGTTGTTCCGCCAATTAGAATGTCGTCTAAATAAATAATCACACCATCTATGTTCTTAAGAACTCCTTCCATCATCCGTTGAAATATACCTGGTGCCGTTGAAATTCCAAACGGTAATCTTGTAACTTCAAAAAGTCCGCGATGTGTGTTTAATGTAAGTATGCTTGCTGATTCTTGGTCAACCTTCACCTGTGTATACGCTCGATCTAAATCCAGCTTTGTAAACCACTTACAATTTGCTAATGCTGCTAGCACTTCTGTATTAGTAGGTAATGGATACGTTTCCTTGCAAAGCATTTGATTCACTGTGCACTTATAATCTCACAAATGCGTATGCTACCATCTGGTTTAATAATAGGTACAACCGGTGTTGCCCACTCACTAAAGGATATTGAACGCAGTACGCCTTCATCTTCCAACTTCTTTAATGCTGCTTC